TGCCAATTTATTTGAACTTACAATTTAAATTACATTTTCCCGTTAATGATATACGTAAATAATCATGAATTCTACCATAATTGTCAATCAGTTTTGTAAACTTTCTCATTTCAATAGACATTCTCAAATATACAGAATTTACAATATTGCAAATGACGATGTATATATAAATATATAATACTAAGCAATTCTATTATTTGATTGGTTGAAACAACTAACCAATGAAATTAAAATTATTGATTTACACAATATTATGCACTTAATATTAAATTAGCTTGTATAAAGTGTACATTTAAACAAACTAAATCAAAAATGTGTTAGAATGTATTTTGACAATATACATTATGTAATAAACTGAAAAGAAATTTTATTATTCAGGAGTAAATTTATTGATTCAAGGTTTCAAGTTAGTCTTTAAATGATTTATGACTATTGAAGGTGAAAGTTTTACTTGAGTATAGTTCAATAAAAATGACTAATTCAATGTGTGAATTTGCTTTCTTAATACATAAATGATAGAATTACTACAGATAAACTTTTAGAATTATTGTCATTTTAAATGAATAATTAGTGAATACATGAAAGGATGAAAACATTTAACTCAATAGAAAAATGTATCTGTTTTTTTTTGTGGCTTTGCTTTTTTTGTCGTTGTTTAGATCGAACGATGTTGTCGAAAGGGCTCTCCACTTTAGTGGCCCATGATCTGACTCCAATTATATCGTATGCTTGTTTGTTATCGAAATGTATATATCGCCTATCCTCGTATATAATCATCGACTTAAATCGCGTTAAATTAAATAAGCCAAATAACGAGAACGAACTTTTGAATACATACATTTTGTATATCAAGTGAATGAAATAGAATGAAGCAAAACGAAGCGCAGTGGAGATGGCGGGTAATACAGATAAACAAGCAAGTACAGTAAAACAATCACTGGTACAATTGGTTATAATAATAATTGTTTCTATTACATCAATCGCGTTCTCTTGATAAAAGTAGGTCACTACACATCATTAATCTATTTCTTAAAAAATTGAAAGAATCAAAACACAAAAACTAATCCTGATAAGTTTTCTAAATGAATACTTGTTCCGATTTTTAATTAACATGAACCATACTCAGTATAACATGCAACGTACAGTTTTCTTTATAATTTCATACATGTAATATTTTGCTAATTAATAATTAAATCGTTGTATACATCAATATATAGCTTAGTGCATTTTCGACTACAGTTGTCGTTATGTTTTGGAGGGAATAAATTTTCACTACAAGTTTATAATTTATGAGTGACGCCAAGGTGATTTAGTGTGAAGAATTAAGATTGAGAGGTAGAAGTCGGGGTTAAGAATTAAAGTTTTCATCATGAACTGACATTAGCTATAATGCCAAAATGCGTGAACATCACACCGAAACACAGGACCTGCTATCTTTAATTTCATTGGTTCATCTAGAAATATATAGTCTCATTACTGCCACTTGTACCGTTTGAATTGTAGCGGTTCCTCATTTCCCAATAAATGTAACAGAAGAAGATATAGCAGACTTACAGTTGAATACTGTTAGTCTTCTTTCTATAACCTTCAACTTCCGTAGCTATCTCTCAAGATTATGTTGTAGAAAAGTGGTGATTATAGCACAATAAGATCAGTTTCTGGTGTAATTCAGGCATTTTTGTAAGTTATATGTGAAAAAGGTCACTAAATGATATGGAACATATCAGTATTCTTAATGAAGTTTAACTAACCATCATAATTTCGTGAATAAAATGTTTATGATGCTGCATCATGCCATCATTTATGGAACATAAAAAGCATAAGGATATAGAATAAATTTTTATCAGGCTAACAATTTCTACTTTTTGAACTACACTGATTCTTACCCACTCTTCAATCCGCTATAGAACTGAATATTACATTTTGAACGAAAGTCTATAAAGAACAACAATTTCTTAATAGTATCAGTGGTTTGCACTAAATCAAATCCTAAAATTTTATTAAATACTGAGATTTCGTTTAATAAAAATACCTAATAAATAAGTGTATGAATGTAAATGAAGTATACTAATTCAAAGATGATGAATAGTCTGCTTCATTCAGTAGGTGAAAATCATGGTTGATTTAAGTTAAGAGTTTAGAGTTGTTTATAGCATACCATATCAGTTTATCATTTAACTGACATATATTTGTACGCTACTGAATTACACTCATTCATATAAATTTGTTTAGACCAACTATTCATCCATATTCAAGGAAAATTTGTACAATAGTTTTTATTTTCTTGACAATAAATATAATTAAACAATTAACCTAACATCGTATTTAGTAGATCAAAGTAATTTACTAATGCTCTATCATTCTTAATTATTTCTTTATCCTTACATAACTGAAGTCAAAATGTAACTTGCGCAAACATGTAACTAAACGATGATATCAAGGGAACCCACTTAGAATGGACAAACAACAAAGACATCAAATATGGTCCTGAATAAAAATTACGAACAACAATTTGAAGCGACAATACATAAAGCTTTCATAGTTTGAGTTGCGAACTGATTTAGTAAAACCACAGTTGAAAACCTGGAAGCATTAGACAACTGTTTCGTCCCAATATAAGGCAAATCAACAGTGCGCACCGGCGAACATACTACAGGGGATCAAAGCCAAGGTCCTTCGGTCTCGCGCTGGAACGCTTAAACACAAGGCCACCTAGTGCCCCTAAATGTTCTGATACGGCCAAGGGTGGGACGAGTTAGCTTTCTCTATCGAAATAACCTCGCATGGTCACGCGTATACAGCCACTACCAAGGAAGTCTTACTCACTACCTTCCCGAGGCGAGGGTGTTGTTTACGAAATTGAGAAGATAAAAACCAAATGTCCGGCGCTTTAACGTGGTCAGTGGATATACAGCATCCACCTACGGGAGTTGAAAAACCTTGATTCCAAGCCCATGACTCCAGGATCCTGAGGGAACAAAAGGCGTATGAATTTATTGTTGGTCACCGGCTACCATGGTACTGCATCTCCTGATATTGCTCCACTGCCTTATGGATTAGACCTGTAAATTAAAGGCTCCTGGTGTGTCTTTCTAATGAAATCACCTGTTTCGGTTTTGGTACCCAGGCAGTATCCCAGCCCTCATACAAATCGAATGATGAATTGTGGCGTATACATACTTGGTGCCTCCTTATACCAATGTTTATGTGTTTAAATAAACAAAGGCCACCTAACCGGTGTTAATCTAGCTTCAATTAATTTCCAATATTTCTCAACCTTCATCTATAGCCAGTGGTGTTTATCTTTTTCATACCCAATATAGTTGAACTCCACTGGTCACGGTTCCCCACTGGAACTCTAGGGATCGGATCATGAAGAAATTTCTGTTTGTCTGGAATTTACAAACTCCTAATAAAGAATACTACAAAATCACCAGTACTTTCATACTGCCTACAAATTTTATCACCATTTTATATAGCAGTAAGTAATTATTTGGTATACCTAACCCCAATTACTAACGATGGAAGCTAATATATTTAACTTTAAAAAGAAAAACGGATGTCTGTTAAACCTCAAAATTGTCTTTATTACATAATTTCTTACAATTTCCTGTTCAAGTCATCAACACAACTAGCGCACATTATTTTTAAGTCAAGCAAATTTAGTTCAACGTGGATTTGTGCGCTGGCTTTTAACTGTGTTACAGAAAGTGGTTCAACGATCTTATCTCAACTATCCGGGCGAAGATAGACGTAGAGTACAATCCCTGCGACTGTTATAACCAATCATTGGAAATGCTGGTTGACATAACTAAAACTCGGTCGCAATGGTGAAGATGCATTTATTTATCTTAAAATACTTGTGGCCTTTATTTTGCACATTCATTCTTTCTTCCAGAATAATAATAATCTTCCCTAATTCTACTGACGCCGTAACTGTACTTCTACTACTCTGTGATTTGTCATGATAATTTCATCTAATTGTGTCGATGTGGTGTGGAAACTTGAACCGATACACAAGTCCTAAATTGCTTATGGCTGATAAATTGATAGGGCATAGCAAGATTCGAAACTACAACTCAATGACTAAAAGTTGGGCATTTAGACCAGTGAACTACTACTACTGGTGATTTAATGTATATTTACTGTTATATCCGAACCAAGCGATAGTAACTTCCAGGACGAACTTTATATATATATATATATATATATATATATATATATATATCATGGTCATGACTTTTCAATTGAACTACTAAGTACTGTTGCATAATTTATTGCTCTTAATCTGTCACCAGTTTATTATTCAGTCTCACCTACTCAAAGCCACTTTTGGCTTAATCATATATAATTATTTTTTATTTTATGGTGTGATGTGGTCGGATATGCCCGTATATAAACTGCGTATGCTTGAAAATATTCGTATATTGGAGTCTGATTACTGATTTATAGATGCAGGGCAGGGAGAGAAGCTACTGAATTGAGGACCAATAAGAACTTAGCTGTTGATCCAAGGATATTGGTGCTGAAACGGATTCCGATAGGTTTCTATCACATGATATTAGATAGGGTCATTAAGTCATAATGTAGTGGACTCTACTCGCAAGGATGTTTGTATGTAGCGGGAATCGAAGTCGAAGTTGCAATAGTTGTCAGACGGAGTGAAGAGTTTCAGTGTATCGAAAGCACGGCGTTGGCAGAAAAATTGGAGACCAGACGTGAACACAGTTCAGATGGCAGAGCACACCGACAGATGCAAATAGACGATCGAAAGCTACGTATTATGAAAAAACTGTGTAACTTCTCGCGATACACATACATTCCTCTTGCCTATTGTCTTTTTTTATGGTAGCGCTTTCAAAAAAAATGTCGGGAATGTTCTATTTCGTTCAATTGTATATATAAAGAGCTTTTCTACAAAATTCTCCAATGCATTTATTTGATTTCTATAAAAATAACAACAATAATAAAAAAAATAAACTCTAGAGAAGAATGTTAGCAACCAGACTAGCAAGAAAAACATAAATGCATTCAGAAACAAATGTGTACATAAACGTACAAAAAACCGGGAGCAGGAAAGAGGTAGTAAATATAAAAGAAACAGCAAAGAAAAATAAGTGTACTTTAATTCTGTTCATTGAACTCCAGTTAAACGTCCCTTTCCCAATGATGCTAAATCAAGTGACTTCAACTCGGTGAATTGAGCATCTACAGTTAATTTCAATGCTTTAATAAATATACCCAATGAAACATTATTCGATTTTACACAATTAGGAATCGGCAATGGTAATGATGATAATTCGGCTTCTGGTACCACCGCTGCTGTTCCTGTCGCTGATATCATTGAACAATGAATCGATTCATTCATACACATAGTGGATGAGCTAACATTATAAAATGATGAAGATTCATTTAGAATAGAGGAATTATTTTTATTAGAGTCTGGTAGATGAATTCGACGACAATGAAGGGTAGAATTATATCGCATATCAGGGATTAGTTTATTCAAATAAAATGCATACGCTAACAAAGGTAATTTGCGCAATGTACGACCATTTAAACCAAGACTATGTTCTGCTAAACGCCATAGTTCTATACTTAATGAATTGGCCTATAGAATAATGTATAATGAGATATACATATATTGAAAACAATTAATAACGTATATCAAACAGATTAACTATTAAAAAAAAACAGCTTCTCAGTATTATCAAGTTAATTTTACTTACCTGTGAACGCTTACTATCTAATGAAATCAATGGTATGATCTGTTTATTGTAATATAATTGGTGAAGAGAAATTCGGATACCATTCCATGATAGCCGTGTTACAGATCAATCTGTAACACAGCAAATAGGTTGCATTTATCGTGTGAGAAATTATGATCAGTAGTATGCTTTATTCTCCATGGGGAATTAAATTTCAGAGAAATTGTTTCGAGTTTGTAACACTTCACAGAGTCAGTACATAAAAGGTTACATCAATGATCTAAAACTTTGAAACACAAATACCAATCAGTCTTTTTCCAATTAAGAACTGTTTAGCTTCGAACTATGCAAGATACCAACACACTTTACTGTTAACTATACCTTATCTAAGACTTTGAAATCTCGATCATTTATCCATTTAGCTTATAAATTAATACATTTACATAATTTAAAACATTACGAGTTACCTGTTTAACCAATTTATTCAGACTAGAAAGACTCAATTCACAATAATTGATCATTGAGTACAGATCAATGTCATCTTTGTCTAGTCCTTCTTAGTGTTTATCGAATGCTATCGATGCAATATGCCCATTAATCTAAGTGATTCAACATCACATATACTATGTTCTGTTGTTAATTGGTTCGAGATAGTCAAAGGAATACCTTGGACTATGAATATGTATACCAAAGATACTTATTCAGTGAAGCCCAACTCGAACTGTGAATGTGACGAAGTAACACGGTTAGATAGCTACAGTTATATGAAGTAAATAAATACAACACTTATTAATATATTTTTTAAAAATCTAGTCCTTACTTGATTTTCCATAAATTGTACAGATGCCAATGTTTGATAACTTAATAATCGACTATCCTCTGTAGAATTGATTAATCCAACTCTTATTAATTCATATAAACAAGTGCGATAGATTGAATAAATAGCTGGTGGAGATGGTGGACCAATAAACAGACGTATATCAGCTCTGTCCAAAAATGCTGGATCTATAACACCGGTTACATTTGAAGTGGCCAATATCAAAACATTGGGGAAACGTTTAATCTGAGAAAAATAATTGTTGAATAGAGAAAGCAGAAAGAATTGTTCAATATGCTCTGAAAAAAATTGTTAGCTTTATTATCCAAAGATAAGAAAATGGTTCATCAATGCAATATCAAATATTATATATACAGTTGATCGTTTACGATTCTATTGGAAGTATTACTAAATTTATAGATAAAAAATCACTCATTTTATTTGTTTAAATAATTTGATTCATGAATTAATTGAATTTCTAAGATTATTATTATATTATTACAGTGTAATCAATTGTTACTTGTATTGTTTCAAAGTGACTGAATAAATGGAGATCAATCAGACTATTTTGCTGATTGTTATAATCATAAATTTATCGGGTGGACAACTGAACGACATCTTTCTGAATCAGTGTTTTTACTTTACAATCAGCGTTTTTAGTTGTCTAAACAACTATTGATCATTGACTTATGATGGTTGAACTTCTGTCTCTACTACTCTTATGGTTCATCCAATTCTGTTTCGTATTATGTAAGGATTTTCAAAACATTACTTTGAGTTTACATTTTTTCACTTATCTATTTGTTTGGTAACTTCTAATTTCTACTGATATTCAAGATTCTAATGGATGTTACTATTGGTATTCATTTGTTGTTTTGAAACAAATTTTTATTTATTTATTTATTTATTTGAACACATAAATATTGATACAAGAGAGCACCAAATATATTTGCGCCACACAAAACAATGAGAATTCGAAGAGAAGAAAAAGGACAATAACAACCACAGATTAGTGTAAGGTGGTGTAATAACAATAATAATAATAGTAATGGTAATAATGGGGGAAACGGAAGGGTACAATCAGGAAGAATTCCTTCAGTTAAGGTAGATACAACCACTTTTTATGAAGTAAAAGAAGGTTACAGTAGGATCGCCACTGGCTTCTATTCTGAGCCATATCTGATAACGTCTCTAGCCACTGTGTAGCACCATCTCTCGGACCCCAGCTAGGGAGTCATGAAGGACCAACAGAAGCCAGTCTTTTGCAGCTTTCTTTCATACACTGACCACCTTTCCGCTTTTTCCAACCAGTCCCAGAATCGGCAAATAATGCACGACGTGGAATGTTCTGAGACGACATTCGTAGAACATGTCCAAGCCACCGAAGTCGGTGTTTCAAGATGGTGACACCAATTGAATTATCGTCTCTGTGCCCAAACACACGATGCCGAACCTCTGCATTACTGACATGGTGTTGCCACTGGATGTCAGCAATCCTTCGGAGACAACGATGGTCGAACACAGAGAGTCGTCTAACATCCTCAACTCGGAGAGGCCAGGTTTCAAACACAGAGCAAAACCGCTCTCACCGACACGTTGCAGATCCGACCTTTTACAGTGATTCAAGACATGTACTAGCCAAATATAGTCCTAACTACTTCATGCTCTGATCAGATATAATTTGAAACAAGTTGGTTGATCAACTTTTAATGAATCAGCACTAGCAAACAAATCGAGATGCTAGAAGATTCTGTAAAAACTATTATTTGTATCATTGTAGATTTGGTGTTCAGGTTATCGGGATATATATATATATATATATATATATATATATATATATATATGTTCGCTCTAAATTGTCGTTCTGATTTAAAAAGAATCAAATGGAGTATCGTGGTCATAGAAGACTAGATACAAATAGAGCTTAACAAAATACGAGTGAAAAATTTAAATGATCTGAATATAGATGAAAATGTATACAGTAAAGAACAATTCACATGATTATTAGTATCACACTACTTCAGTTATCGATGGCATACATGTGAAGTGATAATCTCAGTAGCCTATAGAGCAAGCAATTTTCTGGGTTTGACAGTAAAATAAGGATAAATTAAACCTTTCGCCATGTATGAGACACAATCCAAGTGTAAGGACTGACGGTACTTACCAGTTGCCTAAACCGAAGTAGGTGAAGTGGTATTTGAGATTGGGACTAAGTAGCTGAAAGTCAATAATATGATTTGTGAAACTGAGATTATGTTATCAATGAGATTTTTTCAAAATATTTAGTGTTACTACAATAAAATGGGATTTATCACACTTTTTAAATATATACACAGATCAAAGTGAAAACTTTTGATGCCAAAGCAGAGTAAATTTAATTTTGGATGCTTGTTTATAATAGACTTATTAGCTTCATTTCCGCTGTTCTATCACGATCGTCATCTGGAAATTTTACGTTTAGACTGCTTAATTTCAGATGAAGGTTTGACAAATCACATTCACTGAACCACACAGAAGTTGTTCTCTTACTACTTTCTACATACTTTCTTCTATAGGTAGATGCAACTTTGTGAATGAAACTGAAAGTAATCTCGAAAGAGTACTTTCCAAATAACTTTGTCAACAAAACTGTATCAATCCCTTATTTTTAATTCCCATGAAAAAAAATTAAAATAAAATGAACTCATTTATTCATGTAGATCTTAACTCAATCCACTTCGCTCTGTTCAAGATTATGCCAAAGCAACCAGAATTGGCGAAACTTTGAAGATATTCCAACTTATTATTAAATATAAATATGATAGATTAATAGAGAAGTTACTGTGTTATACCTCATTCACTAGCCACATGGTAAACCAAGCGTAGAACACAAAAAGAAATATTAAAAGTATAAATCAACTACTTTTATTTTACTGATTTCTAATTATAAATGTGATGAGTGTCAATATCCCCTGTATTCCCTTTCTTTGTACAGCCTCATAAGGTTAACGACTGATTATCAGTTGGTCAGTCTTTCCATTTAAACTAGTGAATATAACTTTTCAATAAACTATAAGCTCGTGTAACAGACTTTAATTTACTTATAATTTATTGGTCACTGGGTAGTGAACAATGTCGTTTTTAATGCAGACTGAATTTTATCGACCATGTTGCAATGTGGCCACTAGTCTAGGTGACTCGACATTGCGTGCACCATATTGAGATGAGGTGGTGGTTGGAGGTGATCAACGGGAAACTAATTTACGTATGAGTGTGATATTTAGAAATATCATTCAGGAGAAACCATACTGACAATAAATAGGAAATGATTTGAATCTGATAGTCGTTGAAAGGAGGTATGGTTTGTGAATTGATGAAGCAGACAGAATTTCAATTTGTATACATAATATAAACTAATATTGGGTTTTAAATATTATAACTTTTAAAGATAAACCGAAAAAAATGAAAAACTTAATTTGCAAATTTATTAATCCTTCTCTAAGTAAAACTCACTTGATCAATTTGAGTTAAAACAGAATTAACAACACGAATAGCATCGCTTGGTTCGCAGCCTGACATGGAAGAAGTTCGGACAGCTGTTAAACTTTCAACTTCATCAATTAATAAACATACAAGATGATCATTTGACTCTAAATATTCTTTAATTCCATCAAACATTTTTGTTACGAGACGTGCACTTTCGGAAAACCATTTCGACATTAAATTCATTGTATTAATTTCAATTAATTGTGCTGATGAGTAACGATCAGCCATTCTTATGGCTAATTTATTAGCTAATGCTCGACATAGTGAAGTTTTACCAGTCCCTGGAGGACCATACAACAGAATTACACGATTCCAAGAAATTACAGATGAAGATACCTGTCAAACCAGCAACAAAACCAAGTAATAACGGACTTAATAACATATAGAAGTGGAAGATTATTACTGTAGTAGTATACAAACTAATGTTCTTGAAGGTGTTTGAGATAATCCTTATGTAAAACTATTACAATATGAAACTTAAGCTAATACCATTATCTGACGGTTATTTAGACTTGATATGAAAGTAAAAACAGAAGAAAGATTCAAAATAAAAGTATGTTCAGTTGTGTCAAGAAATCAAAAAGCGGAAGTAGGATAGAAGAAAACACTTTAGATTGTTATTTGTAAAGCGTAAGTTTCGGCCGATAAATGTTTCAATGAACAGGTAGATACTAAGTACCAATGCTATACTATATATTATTAATAATGAAGTTACAGTTTATTAATCTTACTGTTTGTTTCATTAATATATTCTGACGCCTAACAGAATAAACATTGAAAAAATGTTTTAAATAAAAGAATAATTGAATGTTTACGTCAACGTCTCAATATGAAAAATATCCCAAAGGCAATGTGTATTACAGGTTTGAAATATCTGGAACCATGAAACTTAGTCAGAGCATTCGAGTGATCATGAATGAGTCAACACAACAATAATAGGTTTATTTATTTTCATTTATTTAAACACATAAACATTGGTATAAGGAGGCACCAAGTATGTATACGCCACAATTCATCATTCGATTTGTATGAGGGCTGGGATACTGCCTGGGTACCAAAACCGAAACAGGTGATTTCATTAGAAAGACACACCAGGAGCCTTTAATTTACAGGTCTAATCCATAAGGCAGTGGAGCAATATCAGGAGATGCAGTACCATGGTAGCCGGTGACCAACAATAAATTCATACGCCTTTTGTTCCCTCAGGATCCTGGAGTCATGGGCTTGGAATCAAGGTTTTTCAACTCCCGTAGGTGGATGCTGTATATCCACTGACCACGTTAAAGCGCCGGACATTTGGTTTTTATCTTCTCAATTTCGTAAACAACACCCTCGCCTCGGGAAGGTAGTGAGTAAGACTTCCTTGGTAGTGGCTGTATACGTGTGACCATGTGAGAGATGACTCTCCCCACACTCCACCATACCAGGGCATTTGGGGTCTAGTTGAATAATTCGAAAAATGAACTTCTGATTTACATTGTAAATGCTAAGCAATTACTTCTACATTAAAAGTAGTAACCCACTCAAGTGACAAGAAAGTTGGGGAAGTGTGGACGAGTTCCCCTTCATCGTATTAAAAAAATACAGTAAGACTGTATTTTATTAAATTTTGACGAACAAAAAAAACCAATCGGATTATAAGTAGATTAACTGCTCGAGCCGGTTGAACAAAAAAACGAAAACAATTATCTGTAAATAAATATAGAATTATGGTCGAAGCAAATAACTAACTTTTCGATCAGCAAATAGTAGAGCAGTTTGTGCATACTGTAATAAATTTAATTTTATATCTGTATCAAAAATAAGTGATTCCCAGAGACCTGACATTTCTGCTGATGGAAGTAACCATGTAGTTCCACCATTTATAGATTCTGAACCGAATTCAATTAATTCTTGAACTGGTAAAGCTTCATCTCCATTAACCATTTGATAAATATGTACTAAAATAGGTGTAATACAAAGATTAACTGATCGACCAGTATCATTATCATAAATTCCATCAGCTTCATCAAGCATTAACTAAAATTTAAGTAAATAAGACAAATGAATAACAAATAATTAAAATTTTCAAGTTATTTTTGATTAGTAACAAATAAATTTTGTAGACTTTTGATATTTTGACAGCTTCAAGTTCAATAAGCACCAATCAAATCAATAAAGTCAGCTTGAAAATGACGCGGAATCCACGTGAAAAAAAAATTATACTTCGTACTTTCTTGCAGTTGGTCATCGAATAATATTTAAGAAGCTTTGAAAGTTTATTTGGAAATAGTATTCAGTAAATTAGCATTGACAGTAGTGTCTTTAAAATCTAAGAATATTTTCATGTATTTCGTGTGACTCTGGAAATCAGTCAGTCAGCAACAACGTACGTACATCAGTTTGAGTTGCCATACCACATTACCACACATATACAATTGTCGATTCAAATCCCGTAGTTGTATTGGTAGTTAAAGTATAAGCAATAATCGGAAAGAGTAGGGTTTGAATATGTTATTCAAAGAGTACAATCCAGTGAAATAAATTAGGAAAGAGAAAAAAGGGACATGGAGAATTCAGATTAGAATCTGGGAGAACACAAAGAGTGGATTCACCTGCGCCATTGCAAACGATTTTGAGCTATGTCATTCAAAGTCTCTAACCATCGGTTGCTATTGTCTCTCGGATCCCAACCAGGTAATCTACACCTACCAACATAACTCAGTCCACTTGTCAGTGACTTCATGGATTTGTGCCATGTTTTGGTCTGGCTACCTCTAGCTTTCTTCTGGTAAAGTTTCACTACTTCATCAATTGATTTGCCATCCTTACCTAGTACCCGTTTCCTAACAACCGTATTACTTACTCGGTGGTCCCAAGATGTACGAGCAGTGCTTCGAAGACACCTATGACCGAATACTAGTAACCTACGAATATCCTCTACTCTTACCGGCCATGTTTCACAGCCATAAAGTAGGACGGAACGAACTGCTGCGCAGAAAACCCATCCTTTGGTTGATAGACGGATATCTCGCCTACGCCATAAATGATGCAGGTTAGAAAAAGCTAGTCGAGACTTCTGAATCCGTGCTGAGATGAAATCTAAATTTGCCATAATGGTCAGAGTATATTTCTGTATACACTCAGGTTACTTTGTTGATGTACATAACATAATTTTAAAATTAAATAACAGAATTTAAGTATTTTAACACTGTATAACTCAACTTACATTAATTGACGCAACACAACTAGTAAGAACCTGATGAAACTTATTCACCTCACTATTACATGTTACTAAACTCAATTCATTATCAAATTTGTTTAGGACAGTTGGTATGTGTCGAGGACCAAGTTGACGTAGAAATTCTACGACGTAAGATTCAATGACAGTAAATTCTTCACAATTATACGGAGATACACAAACTTCAGCATGCACCGGTCGTAAAGAGGGATCAAATGTTGTTAAATTCTGATGTTCACACATACTACTATTGGATAAGTTTAGACCGCACTGAATTCCACTATTGTATATATTCGCTTTATTATTAAGTGAATTCTCATCATTGTTTTGTTGCATTCCAATGACACTAGAAGTTCTCAAACAGTTGTTCAATGATACGTTTGGTAATTCTCTTTCCATTGGATACACAACACTATATGACAAATAAAAATGAGATGAAAGATCTGGACGAATATATTACAAGGTATTTAGTAATAAATATAAATGTAGTTTATCAACCGAGGTCTACAGTTATTATTGTGACAGCCAATGATATCTGCTAAATTATCCAAGTATCATCCAATTATGAGTAAAATTTTCTTTTCTATAACCGTGATTCGATCCCATTCCATGTATTGGATCAATTACTTGTTGATTTGTATCTCAGTTTTGACTTTAATGTGATCTTCCTCACACTGAACACAATTGAATGAAATAAAAGAGAAGTCAGGATGCATCTTGTGAAACTGGAATTCCAATTACCGATTACCTGTAAAATTATCAAAGATAACTTTTTATCTCAACTACACAATATCCAACATACATCCACCTAGTTTCGCATAAACCACAAACGTTTATTCATGATAAATAATATTCACTATTTTCAAGCCACAACGTAGTCTTACAGCACTTACCATTAAGTAAACTAATACATGGCATGATGTTAATTCCCAGGAATCATACATTTGTTCCAAATATTTCATTTAGTAGTTCACTAATAAATTTTCGTATATTACTTGGTACATGACCCTATTGACTGAAACACTAATATGCCTAATATTCTTTTTCACTTAATTCTATTCATGAATTTCTATATGTTAAACGAATTTCTCTGCAATAATCAAAGAAAAAGATGTACGAAAACTTTTAAGCGGTATTTAATAGTTTGCAATAGAACAATTATCTGATTGATTCATTTCTATACAGCACGAACGCATAGTTGAGAGATGTTTGTATGGCTAGTTGATACATGAATGCAGTCAGTACAATGATAGCTATGTAACTCCACTGCTGGTTTTTTTTTACAGCCTAGTTACCCTGAACTGTCAGCTAATAATTTTGGATAAATATTTTGGACAAATAAGAGGTAAACACAGACAATTTTTAACTTCCATGTTTGGTATGCTCTTTTAGTTTCCATATCTTCAGTGTCAAGATTTTCCGGCTAGTATAATAAATTTCATGTATTCACCAAGTTCCACTGGTTTTTGTATCTTGGCAGTTTAAATTGTTAGTGCATATTTGCATACAAGACCCTTTTCCCAATATTCATGTCTGAAATCAGCCAAAGAAAACCGTCTGTACACAATTTAACTACCATTACAATGGTAGGTTATATCGGTTCTGTCTCGATGGATTTCACACTAAAGCTACAATCTGACGATAAGATGAAAAGTTTATATGTTGTTAAGTACTCAATCCACACTGAAGTATACTTGAATAGGGAAAACAAATCATAGTAAAACTATGGTATGTATAACAATTCACCTTTAAGTTACAAATGAAGATATCATTCGTGATATATATATATATATATATCACTACTATGATATTTCAAGCAAGCATTTATAAGAATTTAACACCAAATACTCGTTAATTTATGTATATTGATCATAAGAATTTATACACTATGTACAAAAAGCATGAATATCGATAGATAAGTGGAATAAATGTACCGCAACTTATTTCGGAGTTACTGTTTACTATGATTCCACTCTAAAAATCGTTCACATAGTGCGGAAAGACTATTAGAAGCTAAAAGTTGACATTCTGCATCTGAATCAGACAATGAACATGATTTTAACCAGCTAGAAATAGTACTTTCTACAGAGCTTTTTTTACTACCAGACAAAAAGATTGACTTTCTAAAAATCAATTCAGGTTTAGAAGATAAGATTTCCAGTGGAGTAGTGGTGATAACTGTTCCAACGACTATGTGTAGAGCACGTCGCACTGCAGGTTCCGGATGTCGATGAAATAAAGGAATTAAATTTATCAACTCGTCAGCCATTCGAGCTTGGACAGATGAGAGACTGGAGCAAGCATAAATAGTTCCCAACGACGCCAATAAGCTAGCCAATAAACTAGCATCTTGATGAGCGAACGGTCCTTTAGCAGAAGAAAGAGATAACTGTGGAATGCTTTTTAGCAAGGGAAAGAAAAACTCTCCAGCAAAAGGAGCAAATTTATTAATAATGTAGGAAGATGGAGGGCGCTTTTTACAAAATCGACGAGTTTTTCCTTTATGATCGTTGTTAGCAGTGACCGCATCATTATTGGCTATCTGATGATTTGAGGAGAATCTTTGAGAGAGTAGTGCGTCTTTGCCCCCATACAACTTACAGGCGATATCAGTGAGAGATGATATAATATTCATCCTTTGGCCAATGGAATATCCTGATTGACAAAATTCTGAAGTCAAATAACGTGCGCATTTTTTCGGAGCAACTACACCAATAGCTACTAGAGCATCATGTCTGGCACGAGCTATTTGTTCCGGATCAGGTGTTACAGGTGGTTCAATATGAACAAGAACACGAGCGAATTCTAGTGCTAACTCTTGCGCCGCTTCCGGATGAGCGTAGATCAACTTTTCTGCAGACATTGTACATGCAATATTCACTGGGTTATCTTCAACCTTTGATAATAACATTCCATCAAGACATTCACGAAGATAAAATGGTGTTTTATTGTAGCAATTTGAAGAACTAATGGAAGGGAGTGGTGTCAATGAGTCATTATCACTATCTGGATCATCATCACTGTCTAGTTTATGTAAAGCTTGTTTCGCAGTTTCACAGTTTTCGTTCTTTATCTCTAAAATAAGAAAAAGCAGTTGAAATATCAAAGTCGCAATAGATTGAAAAAGGAAATATTAACAATTCAATAATAATGAGCTGTAAATTAGGTGGAAAAATGAAGCTTAAAATCAATCCCAATATAGTTCACGTGACAAGCTTAAAGAATATAGAGGGGTTGAATGCACCAATGTCATGTAGCAAGGCGAGTGAGATAGGAACATTAGCTTTTTAGCTAATACGGGAGGTAGTTACATATTAGACTGAGTTTTCATTTATATTAATATATTTATAAACATAGAGTGATGTTCAATTTTGGTAAAATACTAGTGAGTATACAATCTTATATTTTATCAAGGACTAACACTTTATTATATATGAGTATAGGTGAATGAGAGCAATTCAACGACCAAATTTATCTAGACTCATGTACTAAACTATGAGAAAGATTTAGCGTATGTGAACTATTGATAAACACTTTCAAGGTGAAAAGTATATCAATCAGATACATAGCGATTACATACGGTATATTTAGGAAACCTTTGTTACTAATAATTTCCAATATTAACGTATAAAACAAAAGACAACTAGAGAGGGAATATTATTAGCTTTCACTGAGAACGAACCCAAATAGTTCCCCTAGAACTTTAACCAGGTATTCATGGGGCATGAGCAAGTGTTAGTTCAACTAAGTAACCACACTATGACATAAAGTAACCGTATCACCAACTTTCTAGTCAATAAACAATTTTCATTATAGAGTTTGTTGAGATGGCACAAGTAAAACTAATCTAAACCGTTGTGAAATACATTAACATAGTATGATGACATCCTTAATATCCAAATGATATGAAACGCCCGATATTCTTAGATTTACCGAACACGAATAACCTTAAGAACAGCAGCAATTAACCATTGAGGATCATAAGCTCTGGAGTCAGATCATATATGTCTAGGAAAAAGCAGCTGGTGACGAAGGTTTATGCATTCAATCATTTACAGGTAAGTGATTATGGAGACCATGACCATTGATGTTACCTTGACGTGATGGTCGGACTTGCCTATCGTAATGAACCAATCGAGCTATACTGGCTGGAACAATCGTTCTTCAATGTCCTATCATGCCAGACAGGTCGGTTGAAGAACGGTGAGACTAAAAGCAGCAAACCAAAGGTTTGAGGGCGAAGTCGCACTTTTGACTATACAGAGGTGTGATGGCAGTAAGGCGTTTCCTTCAGACAAGCAGCATGACAGCGATGCTGTCTTCCCACAAGGAGGGGTAGGGTTAGGAGTTAACCCTAAAAATGTGCACCTCGCCATATCCGACGGATTTTTGTCTCCGATGTGTCCGGCAAGGTTGTCCACTATCTCCATTCTTGTTCAACTTCGTCATAGACATACTGATGGAAATAAGGTTCTCGTCGACTGAATTTCCGGGCATTGATCTATCAGGAGGTCTACTTATCCACTTAGGATACACACATGACATAAATCTGTTTGGTGAAGACGCTGAGAAAATATAGTGTTTCGGTAGCACTAAGCAACAATGCCAGGGTGTTTAGCATGCGTTTCTCCCATCCTCTGAATGCAAATTGTTGCTCCAGGACTGGCCTGCGTCAACAACTGAACTAAAGACAGGGAGTGAAGTAGTCGAACCTGTCGACAACATTTATTTTGGGCATCGGATCAGCCGTAATGCGTTGGTATTTGGCAAAATCTCTTCATGGATTCAAAAAGCTCGCTTGGCTTTTGCCAACTTACGTTACTCATGGCGAAGGCGAGATATTCGTCTATCAATTAAGGGACGAGTATACTGCGCGGTGGTTCGTTATGATGACCAGTGTTCGAGATGGTTGGGAGTAAGTTAGGGGCGGCCAAACCAAAACATGGCATCAGTGCTTGGAGTCACTAACTTCTAGTCTGAGCCGTGTTGGTAGATGCAGACTACTTGGTTGGGGTCCGCGTGACTATCGTAACCAATGGTCAGAGACTGGGCGACACGCCTCACAACCGATCACAATGGCGTAGGTGTATACACTCTTTGTCTTCCCTTAAACCGTGAGATTAATATTGTTTTATATCTTTCTTTCTACCAACTAATTCTCTTTCCCTGTATCATATTCTCATATGTAATCTTTATTTACATATATTACCACAATTGAAGTAACTACTTCTATAAATTTGGTGTTCATCCTATTGTGCTAATGAGGTGTGGCAACTTGGACCGATGCATATATGTGCCTGATCCTACGTCGTAGATGACTGACTGACCCTGAATATTTGGCCAAGAAGGGCTTTACAACAAAATACTTGAGTCAACACAGTAGGTGGAGCTGGAAATGACTCCTGAACGACCCTTTACTTGTAAGAGAAATGTAAATTCGCATCCTATGATGCTAATGTGAGCAAATTCGAGTATTCTTTCAGTTAAACTAAGGGGTAGATTATTGGAAATCTCGTCAAAAAGTTGAAACCAGTGCTTCTATTTACCACAGACGCCAAACACCCGGAGCTAAATATTGCAAAGGGTAAATAGTAAAAATTAGTCACTACATGCAATAATCAGGAAGGAGAAAGTGATATCAAAACAACAGAGGAATATTTGTAAGCTGCTGCGTATTGGTTACTTCTCAGATATCTACACAGTGGATGATTTTTTATAAACTAACCTTGATGAAACTCCTATTTCTTGGTTCCCCATAATAGGTTTCCCGTACGAATATTCAAGAAACATCTATTCGGGGTACTTTTAAAGCCTGAGTGAAAAGAATAATAACTTTCACATACAGTTTGCATGACCTTTTGCTACTTTAAAAATAAATTTCCTTAACCGTCTTTGTCCTGCAGTAAGGTTATATTTCAAAAAGTTCCACTCCGCGAAAAAGCATCTCGTTGTTACAACCTATCACAATTAGAGTGAAATAGTGTGAGGTTCTTCCTAACACAAAAATACAATATTTTTCTTAGAGCTAATACTTAAATTAACTACATTATATCTAGGGCTTTTAGTTTTAAAAATCATTAGTCAAGTTTCCTACCGCTATAAAACGTTGTGAATCTAGTTCCATGCAACTTGGATGGACTGTCAACATCAGTAATCATTATCATTATAGAGATGTGCTATTCTTTAATCCGAATATTATCGAAATCGGTAGTCAATCAAGTGAGATTGTGCCAAAAACGGTTATTGAAGATAAAAACTTACTGCATTCAAGTGAATTAAGGGAGATTTTGGGAGACTCTACACTTGATGGCGTTTGAATTGGAACTGAATTGTGATTACCAGACTCAGCATCGACAGCCTCATCCAGAGGAACAAAATATGGTCGAATATGGCTAAGAAAATTTAGTTCTTCATAGTCAAATTTCAACTTCTGATTCTCATCACCAGGACTCCAGTCGAAAATTTTCACAATCCACTCCCCTATAACCATACCAAGAGTACGAATTTCAATTCGCGGACTTCCAAGGTGATTACTGATTCCATTCAGTACATCAGGTAATAAGTGGTCATTGGATAAGTTGATGGATAAATTAGCACGCACAGGGTCCCGAAAATCAATAATCCATGAAATTATTATTTGCGACAAATAAATACGTCTTTCTAGGGAAGCTGTTTGTATGGAGTTTATGTCAGACCATACGCGAAGAGCAGGTAGTCCCAAATCTTCATCAACTCTGGTAGCTAAACAGGTTGATTTTTCAAGCGTCTCACACTTTGATACAGCCATGAAAAACGAATTAAAAATGTTTCTGACAGTATTTCCAGATTTAAACTGGCGGATGTAGAACAAACGACGACATAACCTCATATATGAATCAAAAGTAGGAGAGGACATTTCAAGAAATCTTGATAACAACGCATAATATTTTCGCGGGGTTGGACATTCTTTAGCGAGTGAAGCCAAACATATTTCCATACTTTTTGTGTTGGTGTGGATTAGTAATTTAGACCAAATGTCAGCGGAATAATGTTGTTCCTGCTCAACAATAAAATCTGAGACATATTTCGAATACCCGGCCAAACATAGATGACTAACAATTAATCCTAAAAGCTTATACGTATTTTGCGATGTATTGGAAACACGTTCGAAGGCTGACAAAATGTTTTCGACAAAATGACTCCCAACAGTGAAGTAGGAGGGATTCTCACGTTCCACGTTAGCAACATAGTGAGGCACGTTGGCCAATAACCTGGCTCGTGACTCCAGAAACAATTGCGAGCTATCTGAGATAATTTCACTGTCATCAATGCTAGCAGAAATAAAATCTGGCACTCTGTTGAACTCTGAGAAAAACTTTTCTAGTTCAACTACTAGTAAATGAGCTTCTGTAGATACAATATTGCTTGACAACAAGTTGCATGCGGACTCAAGCCAAATATCGCCTTTCGAGAATTCCGTCAAAAATCTACATAATGATAACATTTCAGTCGTTGGTAATTCGTTGACAATCTTGAAAGTGTGGCCCATTATTTGATGGAAGTATTTGTCATAGAGCAGTTTCTCATCTTCTTTAGTAATCCTGAAACCTAATCTTTCATGTTTTAAGGGGTAGTCTACTAAACCTTTAACACACTCAATAATATCCTTCTTATCTGCATTAGTAAGAAAGTCATTTACCAAATTTATCATCCTCGTGTAGCGAATACTTCATCCACTCGCCTTATTCAGTATCCAATACTGTCACAATAAATCAAATTTGTGAGGCTTCATGGAGTGTTGAACACTGCTTTGAGTCATAAAAGAGACTAGTTCCATATTAATTTGCCAAAACTTAATTCTCCCCAGTTTACCACGCAAATCACTTGTTTTTTTCGTATTTGCGACACTTTTGATCGGCTGATATTAACACTTCAGTTTTTAGTAGTAACGATAGGACATCAATCAAAACATAGAAGTTTATAAATCCCCAAAATCAATATCTGTAAGTCTTCGATATTTGATACTGACTGCATTTGTTTTAATGGACTCACCTGGTTGAAGGCTTACAGTCATTCATCCGCACCATATAACGAATAAGTACGCTGTGCTACATATCTCCTACAACCACCGGCCAAATTAGATTGACCACATATCGATATATCGATATTCTATCAAATATATCTTCGAACCTCTTCACTTTTGACTTTCGACTTCACTGGGTTGGCACATTTTGATTATAGGAAATGTTACTGGTTAGATGTTATCAAACTACAAGTACTTGTATCATCTTAAAAACTTTTAAGCAGAGGTTTTCTCTACCATTTCTAGTTCTACCAGTGCCATCTACTATTTTATTTTCTATCCTAGAGACATATCAGACCGCAGTCAAATATTGGTGTTATCGTGACATCAAGCACCAGTCAACAAAACAATTCATTGTTCCTCTGACCCTAGGATTACTTCAATGAGTGTGTATAGTCGGAGTTCAATATTTCCGTTGGTCATCTTATCTATTATTCCCAATCTTTTATCTGAACTATTGTAGAATTATTCGGCAAGATGTCAGGAGCAAATGTCTTGACCTTTTACAAATTACTTACGAGTATAAATTTCGATCAAAGTCACCTGATTCCAGCAAACTGCCCATAATAATATTCGATTACATCAGGCATTTCTCAGCAGTGCTAGGGTCAAGTCTAGTCTAAATTTAGGGTTTTGATGGTGCACTTTGTAATTCAGAATAAGAGTCTGCCAGAGACTCATCAAACAGGCGAACGCTATTTGTAGCTTTTTCTTTTTCCTTGTTTCTGAACTATCGTCCACTTCCCGTCATCTAGGACAACCACTTCGGGACTACTTGCAACGGTGACGGTTTTACCTGGTTCTTCAAGTATTACTTTTGAATTATGACCATTAATATCTAGCGATATTTCAATCCCTGTTTGTTCCAATGGGGATTTTCGTTTCCATGTTTCGCATCCATGTATTTGGCTCGTCCCATGACAACACGTGCTACGCTGACAAATTAGCACTCTTTATACCACTGCCGTGACCCTCAAGTTTCTCTCTGGTTAACTCCAGAACGATAATTACCTTCTGGATCAGTAATGTTTTACCTGAACACCAAACATTCAAAGCCAATGTGAGTTACGCTTCTAGTAAATTTTGTATGTGATGGGATTTAAATGTGTACACATGTTGTGAAACCATCACATCAAGTTGCATTCCTTCCGCCATAGGGAAGCAACAATTTGGATGTCTGCATCTATAAGTATAGTCAACCATTATAAATAGATTAGAGGAAAATGTAGATGAAAATACACAAGTCAGTCGTTAGTATGAGAATCACCTGACAACAAATAGCATAAAACAGATTTGACGAAAATTTCAAACCCTAACCGAAACTATTCAGGTTAGTGTAGAGTAAGTAAGCTTTTGATGCAATAAATACATAGAAGCAAAGGTAAGTCAGAATTAGTAGGCAATCACTGATTTATTGTTAAAGCTCGCACGAGAATGTTCTTTGCTCGAATCCAGATCCTGAGGAAATAAAGAGATTTACCTCTTAAATAAGTAACCTTGTAAGTACCAAACACTGATGCTCATCATGGTGTTACAATCTCAATCTGAACTGACTTCTTATCACACATAATCTTTCGAGTCCCTACCAATCATATACCCAAAAACTGCAATAGCCGCGCCAAATATTAGGGCGTAAACATTTTTGAAGTAGTTCCTTAACTAACGTGTAACTGCTACTAAATGAATTTCCAACAATTCCTAACGCTTACAATGCTTGGTATGTCGTAAAGATGTCTCGGAAATTCAGGTCTTGATATGCATCTTATCCGTTGCAACTATATAATTCAGGATCTCAAACCCAGTCATAGTAGAAGTCAGGAATGAAAGGGTTAGAAGGCACATCAATGTGGTTAATATGATTAATGGCTTATTCAATATTATATTTTTACTATAATATAGAATTATTAGCACAAAGTATTCCAAAAAGCTTCCTTTTCTTGTTTCCTGATTGATCCTGACAATAAATAATGAGTGATCGTCAGTTATGTGTTACCAGTCCAGGAATCCACATCTGAATAATGTTCATTCTTTCAATTCAGATAGCACGACACCACAATGTTTCTGACTGTACTTCTTTGTAACTCGTACAGCAAAAAGTCGTATACTTTTCATAAGCGCTCCTGAATTGATTATGCGATTATTAGCTATAATGATGTGTTAAAACGAACAAAAACATAACCTTTTGAAATATCGAGGTGGCAGAAACAAATATCTCAGATATTCAAGCAAGCTGTCAATGACTTTTGGAAGCTAGTCAGTATTTTGAAAGGTGTGTCGTCTAAGTTGAATAGCATTTGCGAGGGATCTGGTCCAGATCCTTGACCAATAGCTCACCGTTATGGAGTGTCCAGTAAAAAATTGTGGTCTGCAACAATGTAGAAGACTAACAGAACTATATATTTTTGAGGCTTGTCCACCACTGCGATCGGTGAAAAACGGGAATTATTTATGATAATAGATCATAGAGAGTTAAATGCCTCAAGAATTAGTCACGACAATAAATTTAATCATATAAAACAATGAAAGCTCTGGTGTAGATGATAGAAAATTCCAGATACTGTGTGCATAATTGTCAAACCTGCATTGAATACGAATAAATCTAGAACTAAATAAGCTTGACATACGTGTAGCAAGTCAAGTCGTCAGTTAATGCACGAGAAGAACAATAGGTAGAAAACATCATTAAACATTATTATTACCTGGGTGACCAGATTTTGACAGGTGCAGAGAGCGTAGCCGTTTACAGAAGAATGTCGTCGACTGCTTAGCAACGAAATTGAGTAAAATATTGCGAACAGTTATACGATGAATTTCTACTTGTGGCCTACGGTTGAATTAAGTCATGTATATGCAGGTTGCTCATTCGTAGTATGCCGCCTTATGGGTTATTTAAGTATGCGTAATTCTAACCATAGCTCACCCCTAATGGGCAGATTTATACAGGTCAAACTGAAAGTAATTACTAAATGTTATAAGGCATCACAAACAGTAGAAAAATCATTTCATGTACAATGAAGCTCTCCAGAGCTACTTTCATATATATGTGTTTGTTAATGACCATGATGGCTTGATTATAATCATAGTTGACTGCCTATGTAAGTCGGTTGAAGTATTTGTCTAAGTTTATATGTTAATCAACATTGAGATCAGACAGTTAGGCCGCAACGGATATGCAGTTCTTAACTAAACTATTGTCCCGAAAGTTTATTTATTCGAGAATCCCAAAACGGTTAAATGGGTCGTTTACTCAAGTTGGAGGGGAATGTCGTTAACAGTTACCTTACGATGGATTCACACATCATGACCGTCACATAAATTGGACTATCCTGTCATGATAACCAGATGAACCGGCCGCCTTAGTGACTGATTGGAATAAAAAATCTTACTAGGGCAATCACATACATCAGTAAAGACAGATTAGAAAAACACGGAGCGGATTTACTAAGACACGAGCCATTTATAAGCATGTCGATAAATTCATATCTCTTAAGTCTGTCATTAATCGTTGTTTTCAGTTGATGAGGTTTCCGTTAAATTTATCACTCAAATTTCTCTGTATGGAGGATTCGCATAGATCTGTTAGTGACCTTCCTGGTGCGACTACTTCCAGCGAATTCGGTGTCGAATCAAACGTACATGTTGGTTCAGGGAAACGCTACTGAGCCCTAACATAATCAATCGTCAGTCCGAACCGATCCTATCTTGCACAACAGATCAATGACCACCGTGCAATCGTAAAGATTAGAGATGACTGAGGTTAATTTGTCCATTGAACGTCATGACCTGGCCCTCGTCAGCCGTGCTTGCACTCCATATTTCTTTAACCTGTTTTAACTTGTAGTGGCATTGGACAATAACCAATGTAGAATTATAGTCTACTAACTAACGCATTCCTTTAGTACTGTCACGTTTGTTCTATATATTCGTCAAAGAAGCCACAGCACGTTATTACCACAAAGATCAGTCCATCTTTTCATGTTTCACATTTTGCCACTGCCAAATCCATAGTTCGAGTTTTTCACTACGCGTACATGGGATGATATAGGTTCAGTGAAACATCTTAAGCGTCAGACGAAATGTACACCGACCAGAATCGTCTCTACCTCAGACGGCTAAGAGTTGAACATTTTATCGAACCTCGTCATGATCAAGAATAATAAACACGGACTATTGTGTAGAAAGCCATAAGTTGGATCAAGCTGCAGTGGTTCCACTCTGTATTTCTGAGGTGTTCCTTAATATATAAATTTCGCATTATTCTTCCTGTCATAGTTAATCATCAAAGTAATTGCCTTACCTGCTTATCACGAAAGGACAAGCCAGATTACACATCGATGATTAGGTTAGATTCTGACGTGGGCTGCGATCCCGCAAAATTCCCGTCCTTTATTGTCATTAAGGTAACCAAACGATGCAAATGTCTCATCATATTGACATATATTACCGAACTAAGATGAACTAAGTTAAAAATGACAACTCATAACAAAGTGAAAGTAGACCTGAGTGGACAGCAAACAACATAAAACTGGAAAAGTACAAAACCTAGCGCGTAGTAGTAAATAACTCCCTAAGGTACATGGTCCTGTATACATTAAGCGGTGAGATAAACAAAAATTATTCTAAAGGACACCACCTAGCATCATCAGATCACGGTACATCCATGACGTCATAAGCTTCTCCTCTGCCTGATGACCAGCTTATATATTATATGTTCATCGGCGACATGCAAAAGTCGAACGTACCTTAACTCAGAAATGTTAGTATCTTATTCCACATCCTCAGGTGGAATCGCTGAAAGTTACTCTTAACCAGTATTGTCCAATTCTGACGTTACCAGTATATCTTATGTAAAATCAAGCCTTTGCAAATGAAGACATCCAGCAGAGTGAGACACTGTATGCCACTATGTAAATATATTTTAGTTTAAAGCATTAAAATTTTTATTTGCCTTTGTATGCTTCTAATTAACTACAACTGAGCTTTCAGCTATTCATATGTAAGTTATGTTGTATACCTTGAAATAGGAGCTGTGAAGTCATTTCGTGAGATAATTGTGCTGGACAATGATTGATTATTGCAAATATTTCTGACTGAGAATCGTATGTCAAGTAGTGTTACTTTAAATGGTTTAAATATATATAGCTATGGAAATATTGAGAGTGGGAAATGAAAAGTCGCTACTTTACACCAAACGAGGTTTTAACACATAATTCACCCGAAGACTGTTGGGTCTCGTTTCTTGGACGTGTTTGGGATCTCACACCAATATGCGCACAGAACAAGGGTGAATATTGTTGACTGTATCGATTCTACTTAAATCGCGAATATATTCATCTATGTAATCCGAATTACATTGGTCTTTTCTGGGAACAGTTATATCATATATATTTCCGGTTTGATAGTTATTTTAGCCTTCATAATGGTAATAGATACTCAGAACATTCAACACAATCTTATGTTCTGCAATATCTGACCCAAAGAATTTAAGCTTTTCCTCAAAATGACTGAAATGTACCTGACACTTGTTCGTGATATATTCTTTGTCGTATTGGTATTTCTCATTAAAAACAGATGAATTTTCTTTTGAAGTGTTTGCAACTAATGGTGATAAGTGACGTTATAAATTTGACGATCAATAATAGAATTGAATGAAGCTTCACTTAATTACTTCAAATGGTTGGTGGGTTCATTATTTATCAAAACAGTCTGAGGAATAAATGTGAATCTTGTAGTGTCAGTTATTATGGCAAGCCCATGTACCTTATTCTAACTTCCGGACATCCTATTTTATTCATTTTACTTGAGCCATATTTTGACCTTGTCAATTATTCGTTTATTAGCCTTGACTGTTTTCACATGAGCGTATATGTGTGTACACTTCATGTCCCATGATTCATCACATGTCTGTAGTTTATTTTGTCTGCCTATAAATACTGAGTAACGCTTAATTAAAATGGAGTTGGCTTCCCAGCCATCTTCCCTCCGCGTCATTTCGCTTTGTTCTATCGCATTCACTTTACATACAAAATATATGTATTCAATGGCCATTCTCGTTAATTGACTTATTTAATTCCGTTATGGACTAACGCGATTTAAGTCGATGAAGATATACGAGAATAGGTGATAACAAACATTCGTACAATCTAAATGGAGTCAGATTCACGGGCCGCTAAAATCTAACTGATTTAAAAAGTTACTGCTGCGCTATGGGGCATCCACTAGTTATAACTAAGTGTGGAATACAGTCCAGTTATGTCTAGAAAAGTAGACAATCCGGTGTACATTTGTTCAAAAATTAGACACTGATGTAAATCCAGTCATTTCAAACATATGGCGGCTGAAAGAGGATATGTCCGACTATTTGCCCTCGGCGGGCAAGGGATTGGACTTTTTGACGCGTTTTTCCTTATTTTCCTTGGGAATATTTGTTTATTTCCCTTATATTCGTCTTTATTTCCTCTTTTTGGTTTGTTTTGGTAAAAATGAATACACAAACAGTCCTAGATTAATTATAAGTGAGGCCGGATTTGATCAAGCTGAAAGCTATTTTCCGTCCTAAGAATACAGTATTCTAGCAATTTTCGATAGTCACCCAAGAATGACTGACAAAGATGAGGCGAAACCCAGTTACAGTGAGACGAATACTGAAAAAAAATCAAGAAAAAACGATTATACTGAATTACATGTGCATTTAAAGACAATCAACAGACTGAATCTCAGTATTTTTGTGATTGTGACGTGTTTTTAAGTGACTACCTGGATGCTGTTTTAATGCGTCTCATGAAATCACACGAATTAAAAGGTAGGGTAGAGTGAAAGCACTGTCAAATGTTATTGAAGCTATTCATGCTGACTAGTCTTGATCGATTTGAAACTCAATTTATTGTATTCATTTTAGGTAGCATACTTCTCCAGCCAATCTTAAACGAAGCTGGTAGAGACATATCGCACTGGTTTGATGCAAAAACTGGTGACGTTCGACATCACATTGATCCAGTTACGAACTGTTACGTACCTTACACCCCCTATGGTCGATTTGTTCACATACCACCACCTTATCCAACGACAGATTGGGCTACAGATTTCGGTATACCTTGGTGGAAAGATGAGAGACTGATTGTTGGATATTTAACTAAGAAGACGAGGTTTGTACGTATTTTCAACACACTTGCGCTACTTCAACACGAAATTGAGGTTTGTTTTCTTTTTTGTAAACTATTATAATTATACCTTTAGTCAAAAATATATTACTATCTCTGCCATTTGATCAAATGTGAAATACCTCTAGCGCCTAATTCAGTGACTTATTAAACACAATAATACAAGAAGATAGTTAGTTCATTAAACTCCTCTGGATATTTGTTTTTGTGTCAAAATAAAAGTATAGCATCGTCAAAAATTAAAAGTAGGATAACTACTTTTCTTCACGGGATACACAAACGTCAATCACTGCTTGATAAATTCCGGTTTTTTAAGAAGAAAATAGGTTCAAAATATCGTTTGATTCACATTCTCAAAAACATTTCCGATGTAAAATCGTTGTCCACTGGAGAGACAAACAAAAGTGGAAACCGAGTTTATTCAAAATCGATAATTATTGTCTCGAACTCTATAGAATCGTCCAATAGGTTGTTGGGCGTGATAAACACCAAGATTTTCATCTGATACGATATCTTAATAAACATAGGGGTTTTTATTGTTTCAACGTTAGTATTTAGGATTGGTTTTATGACCGATGGTTCTAATTCCGCCACTAATTGCTATTCAAAATATAATTGGTCAAAAGAACAAAGGTATTATATAGACGTCCATTCAGTTAAGTCATACGTTGTGAAATTTTGTCCAATGAGACGAAACCGAAAACGTAGGAACCATTTAATTTTAAAAAGATAATACCTATTGAGAAAGGGTCATACGTGAGGCAGTGTAAATAATTTAACGTACCGCTATAACATCTATTTATAAAACATTTCATTTTTTATTATTTCAGTACAACATTTCGTCCTATCTGTTCAATAAAACATATCATTTGTATCAATTCAGTGTAAAATTTGTTGTTTCAACTCACTACGACTTTCGTCAATTGATAACTAATACAGGTAAACCTGCATGTAAGAGAGTGTATTTTGTTCTCATGAAAGAGAAATACTTTTGGTATTGGATGATTAGAAGAATCTTCATCTGCCAATAGTGTTGGTCTCCGTTGCATTAAACCACAGCGACTCTCAGTTTTATACATACCACCGTTCCCGCTTCTAAGTCACAATGCAAGCAATAACAAAATCTATTAAATAAATTGGCTTGCGAATCCAAAGCTTAGTTCATAATGTTTTAGCATTTGAGGTAACAGGTACTAGATTCAATTCTTACTGCGAAAATTAACACTGAGATTTAGGTACATCAGTCTGACTAGTTCCAAATAGGATTAAACATAGACCCTGAATCCAATTGTTAGCGTCCGTTTAAAACATATCTAATTTACTCTGTAAATTATCTCTTTGGTGATAAAATTAAAATTTGTTTACAATAAAAATATAACGACCTGTTGATTGGGTCATGTTATCTGTAAAATATTCGTCGACTTTACTTACAATGTAAAATGTTAAACTATTCTTGTTTTTCTAACTAAACAATAAAATTTTGTTAATCAAGCTGTTTACTTCAAAGAACATCTTATTTTTGCTACTCCATAGACCTTCTTTTATGCCGATGCTTTAAAAATGGGAAATTGGGAAATGTATTTTTCTAAAAATCCGTACATTTTCTTATTTTAAATGTATTATTTCTTTTTATTCTGTCGATTAGGTATGCGTTGAGGAGACTATTACTGATATTCTTGTTCGTTATTTAAAATTTAATTCACACGCTGCCTCGTACACATGGAAGTATAATGGTGTTGTACTAGATATGGAGAAAAATCTTGAGGAGAATAATATTAGGGAAGAAATACAAGATATTGAAGATTTATTTATGCCTCAAATATATCTTTATTACAATGACGATTTGACTGAGGCATAATTAAACAATAAGTCAAAAGAATAATTTATGATTTCATGGTTATTTGTACGCAACAAATATAAGTACCATTATTTACATGAAAGTAAATTTCTTTAGGGGCTCTCATTTGATATGAAAAAAATCTATTAATTTAAAAATTTCGTTTTCTTATGTGTTTTATTGGCTGTTATACATATTTAAAATAGTTTCTGTGATCAGGTTTCAATGATAAACCAAGATCTATGAAATAGATAAAACTGAAAATTAAACAGTAACTCACCGATTGATTATAACTGACTGAGTAGTGTGCTATATTTTTGTTATCATAATGTTATTGATCACCACACTAATATATCAGTAATTTAAAAAATGATTATCTAATGAATTCAAGATAATGCTACTTGAAAAATAAATTATTAGAGGGAATTTTACGGAAGTAGTAAATTTTCACAGTTTAAAACAAGAACGCATCTTAGCTAGATCACCAATTAAAACCTACAAGCACTAGACAACCGTTTCGTCCTAGTACGAGACTTTTCAGCAATACACACCCACGAACCCGCATCCGATAATTAAACTGAAGACCTTCGGTATCTTTCACTAATGCTTAAACTGTAGACCACGAAGCTGGCATCCACGTTCATTTTTTCAGTATAAAAAAATCATTATATTTAAAGCTTTTATTTCCTTAATATAAAATGTCCCTCCGGTCTGAATTATTGAGGATTTTTAGCTGCTATCATACTGATGTTAGTCATTAATTATCATACAATCGTATTCTGTCATAAAATAAACTCAAAGATTGGAAAAGTTTTACTAACCTATTTAAATATTTTTACAGAAGCATTTTAAGGCATCCTAGTTAAAAGCACGTATGATTAACACCAGTATTGTACCTATAGAATAGTTAATTGCTAATTCATTCATTCATAGCTAAGTGAAAATATCTTTGAGATATTAATTTATGACCATCCGTTTAGAGATAAATCCATGAATACTTACTTTGAAGCTGTATTATTATATTGTATATCCCTTAGAACTACTACAAATATAATAAATTATCAGAAAGTAATGGTGAGGTTAGGTAAAGGTTAATATTTAAAGATGATAAAACGGTTGATAGGGCTATGTACTTTCGTCAGCTAAGGTTAATTATGTATGTGCTACATTTTATCAGTCACTTTCTACTACAAACCGCAAAGTATGTTAGTATAGGAGCCGATGAAAACGAGTAAATGAAGTGAATAACTGTTGTACCAAATTATATCAAGAGGTACGTAATACTCGATCGGAATAAAATGGGTAACCATAATCTATAACCTCAGACTTAAAAAGCTATGATTCGAAACAGGCCACAATGGTACAGCTATATAGTTGTTTTTATCTACTGTTTTACCCTGAATTTGAACATTATTTTATCTCAATTTTTATTTCGAACTGTATTTTCTATAACTTATTCTTGGTTACCGTTGAAAATACTATTCTTACTCATTTCTATTTTATCTAAACAATTCCCTCTTTAAGTGTGCTGATTTGAAATGCAACAGTTTTTACTAAGACACATTTCTGAAAACGCTTATACTGTTTATGACTGATTGATAAAGATTAGTTTTTAAAACATTGATATTTTCTCTTTACATACTCTTAATTCAGATAATATTTAACCAGTAAACTACAATAGGCTGTCTCAATACATTCATTATATCATATGTGAATATTTCCAAATTAAATTAAAACTATTTACTGAAATCTTTAATATTCTTTGTCAATCTAAATAAAAAGAAACTTACATCTATTTTGTTTTGGAAAAAAAATTGCGCTAAGAAATGCACAATAAAAGAGGTCAGTCAGCTACAACGTAAAACCAGGCACATACATGCGTTGGTCCAAGTTACCATACCTCATTAACACAGCAAGACGAGCATCGGATTCATAAAATTAGTTAATTCAGAGGTGGTAATATATAAAAGGAAGATTAAAATAAGGATATAGTACAGGAAGAAAGAATTAATTCGTAGAAAGAAAGGTATGAAGTGATTTTAATCTCATAGTTTAAGGGAAGACAAAGAGTGTATATACCTACTTCATTGTGATCGATTCTGAGCCATGTCACATAGAGTCTCTAACCATTGGTTATGATAGTCACACGAACACTAACAGTACAGGAAAAAAAGAAAGATTTAAAGGTAACAATTAGAGAAATAATATCAGTTGATCATATTTCCTATTCAAATTCTACCTCTTTTTAACAAGAAAAAAAAGGGTAGAAGTTTTATTACTTTCTTTATTGTTATTTTTGTGTTCACATATGACAGATATATCAATATTGGAATTAGTTACCTGTTATTTTCAAAAAAAAATTTATTTTTATATTCATTGAAGGATAAAATACACTTCTACATAATTACTAATTTGTTTTCATAATGTTAAAAAAAGATAAATATTCTAGACAATTTAATGCCATAAATCTTAGTATAGATTTAAGATAAAGATTATATTGTAATATATGCTTGAATGTATTCAATAATATGTTATTGAAGTTAATAAGATATGTCATTTATCAAACTGAACAATGAATTGGTTAGATTTAATCCATCGGTGTAATATGTAATTTAAATTAAAGGTAACAGTTAAAGTAAGAATATTAGTTGTGTTGTATCCCGATAAGATTAATGAATGGTAATTTTTGGGATTCATTTATGGACCAATATTATGAGTATATTTTTATCGTATAATTGTTATGGAACTAAACTGTTCATATTCATGTCGCTCTTATTATAAGCTTTGATTTGACCTATGAACTATTATTATATGGTTTACCATTCATGAACTATTCCCTGTCTGTTAATCGCTACCTCCCTCATTCACAGCCACATCTGGCTAATTCCTGAACAAATGTTGTTTATATTTTATTGGTACGTTGTGGCCGGTTTGTTTGGTATACAAACTCAGTATGCTTGAAATATAATGATTCATATCTCAGAGACTGAGACTTGCGTTCTGGACTCAACTGGCTGGGCTAAACAGCGAAGTGAGACCAATCAGAACTCTAGGCCATTCTTACGTGTTTTACGCGTCTGGTCCGATCGATAATACGCTGCGCTCTGATCTGCAGTCACAAGCTACAACAAGTCGATCATATTTCAAGGCATTCTTTTTATTATTAAACTTATTAAGAAAATCAAGTTCAAATTCTTAAATTGAACTAATAGTTTAGTCAGTGAGATTATAATTTATGGACGATCTTTGAGCGACGTTAAGATGATCTTAAGAGTGTCTATCTACTTATTAGGGCTAAATGACGGTTATAAATCAGTTTGAAGAATAAGGATTATGATTTACAGTTGATTATTAGGGTTAGAAATTAGATTTAGGGTTTTCATCACAAAGTGACATTAGCTATAATGACAAGACTTAATTCAACCAATTGGGTGAATGAATTTCGTGCTAAAATCTAAGACCTGTAATCTTATACATGATCAGTTTGTTCATAAATTATAGCCTTGGTATTTAGGCAATTTAACTGCAATTACTTAAAGTATTTGAAGTTGATCTATTAACACTTATTGTTCTCTTTTATGTCAAGTTATTTCCAGTTATTCCAACTTTTTTACAGTTGTGAAACCTGATATAAAATAACCATTTGATGTTGATAGAAAACAGGATGTAACATTAGTGCAAATGATACATAATTTCAGTCTAGAAACAGGGAAAAGTACAGTTTTCTAGTCTGGTCACAGATGTATCAATGAAATCTTTATCTGTCATCAGTTTTGAAAATTGGCATTCTGACTGGTGTTTGATTATAATTAACCCACAGGTCACACATGACTAATTAATACTTCAGTGACTGCGTCAACCGATATTAGTCAGGACTGTTTATTATACATCATTGTGATTAGCTAGACCATAATTACGTCCCTAACGAATTTAACATTTATATTCAACTCTTTTAAGACGTATCTCTCGCGTGTAGATCTTTTCATCAACCTAAATCTCGTCAGTGATAAAATGTATAATCTTGCACAAACTTAGATAATAGTGATAGAACTTTGAGAACGAATGTGTTGAGCATAAAATATTTCCTTAGGACTGGTCTATATGACATCATATTTTGATCAGTATTCTCAACAAAAGTGATTAACTTAGGCATACTATTTTTTTCCGAATAGGTGGTATAAATGCTTCAAGTTAAAAGTGGCTGATGATAAAAAACGGATTTATACTATTCTACTACAGTATCTTTACTTCAACGTATCAGGACATTCTAGGCCCCAAGAAATGGAATGGATAACTATCGAAACCCTGGGCATGATTCAAGAGAGAAAGAACAAGAAGACAGCAATTAACAACAGCCGAACATGAGCAGAGAAAGACAAGACACAAGCTGAATACATAGAAGCAAACAAGCAAGTAAACAAGAGCATTAGAGCTGACAAGAAGAAATACGTAGAAAACCTGCCAACGACAGAGGTAAACTCAGTAAGAGAAGGAAATACGAAATAACTATTCGATATAACGAAGAAACTGACAAGGAAATATAGTAAACCAGAGAGACCGGTCAAGGACAAAGAAGGCATGCCAATCAATGAGATTCAATAACAGAGAAACAGATGGGGAGAACGACTTGAGGAACTCTTGAATGGGCCGACTCCACTAATCCCACCGGACATCAAAGCAGCAAACACAGACATTCACTCCAACAACGATCGAATACGTCAGGATGGCCACTTGACAAATCAAGAGTGGGAAAGCAGTAGGATCTGAAAATATGCCAGCTGAGGCACCGAATTCAGATATGGAAGTAACTGCAAACACGCTCTACGTTTTATTCAGAAGGATTTGGGAGGAAAAACAAGTGCCGACAGATTGGAAAGAAGAGAGTCTCATCAAGATACCAAAAAAGAGATCTGGACAAGTGTGAGAACTCAGCCACAGAGTCATCACACTACTATCGGTATTAGGAAAAACTCTCAACAGAGTGTTATTGAACCGGATGAAGGATTAAGTAGACGTCCACCTTCGACATCACTAAGCCGGATTCCGTAAAGATCGGTCGTGTATAGACTAAATAGTGACACTACAGATTATTGTTAGGAAACTGACTGAATGGAATTCGTCACTATACAGCGGGTTTTTTTACTACGAGAAGGCGTTTTATAGTGTGAATAGGAGAACCTTTTGGAATCTTTGACGACACTATGGTGTACCCAGGAAGATCGTCAATATCATACGGAATTCATATGATGGACTACAGTGCAAAGTCGTGAATGGAGGACAGCTAACAGACACATTCCAAGTGAAGACCGGAGTCAGACAAGGCTGTGTTCTCTCTCCGTTCCTCTTTCTTCTGATAGATAACTGGATCTGAAGACCACCATATATCAAGGGAAGCACGGAATACAAGGAACAGTTTGCATGCAACTAGACAATTTGGACTTCGTAGATGACCTAGCTCATCTATCCCAGAAACATCAACAAAGGAAGGTCAAGATAAACAGTGTAGCAGTAGCCTTTGCATCAGTAGACTTCAACATACACAAATGAAAATGCAAGATATTCAAGTATAACATGGAGGATGCCAACACAATTACACTTGATGGAGAAACTCTGGAAGAGATGGAAAGTTTCACGTGCCTGGGCAGTATTACCGACAAACAAGAAGGATCTGATGCAAATGTAAAGTCGAGAATTGTCAAAGTAAGGGCAGCATTCCTACAGTTGAAGAACATGTGAAACCCAAAACAACTGTCAACTAATATCTAAGTCAGAATCTTCAATAAAAACGTCAAGACAGTTCTACTGTATGGAGCTGAAACTTGGAGAACTATTACAATCATCATCAAAAATGTACAAGTATTCAGAAAC